GCTCATTTTGAACTACGTAATGCATTAATAGAACATTTATGGGAGCACCGATCTTGAAAGTTGAATATTTATGTAGAATTTAAAATATTTTTTTCAATTATGTAATGTTTATTTAATTGTATTTCATTAATGATTTCACTTTTATTTGTATTATCCATTATTATGTATAATGTATAATATTTGCTAGCAATTTATATTATTTAAAAAATTATGGTACAAAATAATTTTATATTAAATGATTATAAAAGGAAATAATATGAATTATATATGGTGAATGTTTTTGAAAAAATTTGTTTTATGAAATAAGAAATAATATATCAATAATGAAGAGAGAGAAATATATTCCTTTTTGGTGTAAAATTTGGTGCAGTGGATTGGAGTTGATTACACAAAAAATAGTGTTGACACCAAATTTGGTGTTTGGGTTGGAGATGCCCTTAAAAGAAAGGCATATATAATACATAAACATGTTCTTTAACTTGGGTTCATCTGGCATCTATGCTCTTCAACTTTGGTGTGCACAAGTAAACACTTAAGTTTGTATAGAGTTGAACAAGTATACACACATACTACTTAGCGTTTTATGTGATAATTTGCATCCTATGTGACATCCTACATGTATTATGCCACGTAGGATGCATGTGACTACTTATTCAATTTTATAAAAATTTAAGTGTCTACTTATTCAACACGTCTCTCATAGTCAATCTTGGAGGCACAAGTCTTTTCTTGATAAAAGAGTGGAAAAATCAAAACATTAACACTGAGAGTAATCACATATCTAGAGCTTCAATTGATAAAACAATTAGCTGCTGCCTCACCAGGTTTGGGGAGTAATAAACTTGGTATTAGAGAAGACCGTGTCATAGGGAGTGTACAAGCCGTGTCAGTCGAGATGACCATCTTTTTCCGCTTGCACTTACTTCTCATCACCATGGTATTGTTGGCTATGGTTGGTGATGGAGCATATGATTGCAGTGAGCCCAGGTGTGGAAGTGATGGCCATAGCATTCATTTTCCCTTCAGGCTTCGCCACCAGCCAGAATATTGTGGCTATCCAGGCTTTGAGTTATCTTGTGACCTCAAAACCGAACCATACTCATACTTCCCAATTCACTTACACTAATTGTTCGAGAAATTGATTATATGTCTCAACAGATTAGTCTTTCTGATCCTGAACGTTGTCTCATTCTTAATATATTGCACCTTAATTTATCAGCATCTCCTTTCTCCTTCACTGTTGACGAGCGTTATCTTACACTAGATAACATTTCAATTTTCAAATGTTCTGGTATGCCAGCATATTATCGGAACCTATATCCAGATTGTGCCTCTGACAAATCAATATTTGCTGTTTCCTACTCTTTAGATTTACTCCCCCAGGCAACTTGCAAAAAGATTCATGAAATTCCATCATTTCTCTACGATACAATTTACAGTAGTTTGATAAGACTCAGTTGGCTTAATCCAAACTGTAGCTACTGTGAAGGTCTTGAAAAGGATTGTGGCTTCAAGAACTATACTAAACAACTGACTACTCAGTGTTTCGATCGACCATTTACTACAAAAGGTATTGACAAACTTTTCTTTAATGCCATTATCATGTACTTCTCTTTTCCATAACAAAAAAATTGTGTTAATTCTGGCAGGCACAGTAAAGGAACCACTGATTGCAGGTGGAGTTATAGGTCTCATTCTTTTGGGAATAATTATTATGGCACTTTATGAGTGTTATAGCTCAAGCAAAATTGAAAGAGAGAATCAAGTCAGAGTTGAAAAGTTTTTGGAAGACTATAGAGCTCACAGACCGACTAGATATACTTATGCAGATATTAAAAAGATAACAAATCAGTTTCAGGAAATATTGGGAGAGGGAGCTTACGGGATCGTTTATAAAGGAACACTTTCGAATGAAATTCATGTTGCTGTAAAAATTCTCAATGATTCTGAAGGAAATGGGGAAGAATTTATTAATGAAGTTGCAGCAATGGGGAAAATCCATCATGTCAACGTGGTTCGCCTAGTTGGCTTTTGTGCTGATGGAGTTAGAAGAGCTCTAGTGTTTGAATACTTGCCAAATCAGTCACTTGACAAGCTCATTTTTCCGACAAGTTTCAAAGATAATATCACCCTTACTTGGAAGAAGCTTCATGATATTGCTATGGGAATAGCAAAAGGACTAGAGTATCTTCATCAAGGATGTGACCAACAAATCCTTCATTTCGATATCAAGCCTCAAAATATTCTGTTAGACCATAACTTGAACCCAAAGATCTCTGATTTTGGTCTTGCCAAGTTATGCTCTAAAGAGAAAAGTGTTGTCACTATGACTGAAGCTAGAGGAACCATGGGTTATATTGCACCAGAAGTGTTGTCAAGCAATTTCGGAAAAGCGTCTCATAAATCTGATGTCTATAGCTTTGGAATGATGCTACTTGAAATGGTTGGAGGGAGGAAGAATTTTGATGCAAAAGCGGATACTAGCCAAATGAACTTTCCCGAGTGGATTCATCAGCGGCTGAATCAAGGAGAAGAGTTGAAAATCAGGATTGAGGAAGATGATGATGTTATAATTGTAAGGAAATTGGCTGTTATAGGACTTTGGTGCATCCAATGGAATGCGACAGATCGGCCATCCATCAAAATTGTAACTCAAATGCTAGAAGGAGATGTGAGCAACCTAACTGTTCCTTCTCCTTTTACAACAAGAAACACCACCCATGTAGGTCCTTCTACGCAAGAGTTGACGGTAATCTCAGAACTAGAATGAATGGAAGCCTTAATTACAGATCAACTCCTTCATCTAAAGTTGTAATGTCAGAGTCAATACAAGTGGAAGTCTGAATTTTGGTATTTTCATTAGATATGTGTTAAGTCATTATGTTTTGCTGCTACTTTCACAGCTCTTTTCCGTGTCCAAAATATTTATTGTCAATCTGTCATGATTCTAATATCAACACTCACAAAAGTTATTACATATGCAACACCATTTAGTATAATATAATACAATGTTTGATTAGCCGCACAATAAAAATGATCTCCGCCATAACTAATAATATAATTACCTTAGAATTTACCACATTCAGTCATGTCAGAGAATTTGCAAAAGTATCTACAGAATGAATTTTTGTGCAGAAAGTATCAGATACAATTCATAGATATACCTGAATTGGCACCACCGGTGTGTAGTCTAGGGAACCTTGCTCTAGCAGTTACAAGTTTCTAGTCATCAACTGACCAATTGCGTACAGACAAATCAATTGTACCTATCCTTTTAGAGTCATTGCAAAATTGAGCCCCGAAGTAACGTTTCTCGAGTACACTAGAGGATAAGAAAATGTAGTTCTACCTATGGATTTTCATTAAGCAAAAATATGTAGTTAAAATTTCAATGTAAATTCTAACATTGGGATTTGCTGTTAGTCAAAGCAACAACATACCCAGATAACCTTAGAGCATATGAAAATTTTAAAATATTAAACTAATCTACTTCTAACTCTCTTTAAAAAGAAATTATCCATGAATTATATGTTATACTTGAGATATTTGCTGCCACTTACACCTTATATTTTACAGAAAAAATAAAGAATTTTTAACCATAGTACTAAATACATGTCTTGCATTCATTTGCTTGGTGTAAATCCAAGGTACGAGTAAATTTTTTCCCAATGACCATTTTGGTCAGCGAGTCGAGTCATTTCATTAATTTATCTAAAAACACAGCATATATCCTAAGAACTCCCCAAACAAGACTTCTTGTCATTCCTAGTTATTATCTTATATACAAAAGCAACACGAAAGATTGCCAATTGGAAAAAATGCAGCTTTAACTTCTTTCTCCAGCTTCTGCTTCACTGTCCAGTTTTTCCTCTTCTCCAGATTTGTGTCACAAACTCAGAAAACATTCAAGAATCACCAAGTTACGCGAGAACTATTTAACGTCTTTTCTTTCTTGCCTTGGTTGTCATTTACATTGGCTGGTGGAAAGCAGATGGATGTCATCTTCTCTCAGGTTGCCAGAACTTGCAAAGACCTTTGAGTCCTACAAATCACCATTCACATCACTCTAAAATTTGGACCAACTCTGAATCGATCAATCAAATGGGAAAACACCTTTCCTCTTTCGCTTTCTCTCCATTCCTGCTCCTGTGGCTTCCCTTCCGGGTTTATTTCATGCCGAACATGTCTCAATATGGTATGCATCTCATTAGAATCTGAATAGGTAGAAAGCTTCCATAATTGCATCTCACTTCCTTTAGCATGCCACAGAGAGTAATTGAATAAAATATATCCACACCAAACCAAGTATATATGAAGAGAGAGGGACATGAACAAAATTAACTTACAGTTGAAACTACTGCCAGAAGAGCAAGCGACATTTTCGGAATTTCATTTTGGGCTTCAGTTTGAATGCTTGACCTCAGGTTGAGAAAAGCCAGTCTACAATCATGTGAATTTCACGCTACGATGTATGTGCCATCCTATATGTTGCAGTGAAGCAGGAGAATGACTTCTTGAATACAGATAGAACATTTTAAAGACTCAAATCTTATATTGCACATACATCATTGATTGTGATTTGTCTGACAACTTCAAGGATGGCAACAGCCATTCGGATAAATAGATGGGCTGCTTTTGATATTTACTATCATCTGCAGAATAATGAGAAAGCCAATTTTTTTTATTCATGATAAGAGCAAGAAATGGTCTTGGCCTAAGTGATTTCGAGCCATACCTGGGCGCACAAGTATTCTGTGTGAAACAAAGGACTGCAACAGCCAGAAAGGATTATTAAGGTTAATAAACCCCTTAAAAGTCCAATGTTCAACTGAAGAAAAACAGTTATATAAATGTGGTTTTCCTGTCAAATCTCCCACATTCATTTATACATAGATTGGGTGTCGTTCGTAGAAAACCATATCTTTTTGTAGGTTTTCTACTTTTTGGTATACTTCTTGTCTACAGGTGTGCCTCATTATGCTCATATTGTTAATAAAACTGTAACTTCAAAAAAAAACAAAATGAAACTGGGAGTCTTGTCAAAGGCTGCAACCGCAAGGCATATGGGGGGAGGTCATAAGCTCTATACAGTAAAAATCGATTTTGACGAAATGAAAAAGCATCTATTTATGGGGCACTAATTTCAAAAGTTCACGAGTCCTGATGTTTAAGGTCAAAACATAAAAGGGAAAATACACCAAGTACTCAGACGTTCGTCAACAAGAGAAATACACATGTTTTTTTTTATGACAAGGGAAACCTGCAGCCGCTACCATTTGAATGCGCGCACACATGGTAAAAACCCCACTCCTATGCAATAGCTTGCAAACCACACATGAGAGAAATACACATTTTCCACGTTTAGTTTTTGTAAAAGCATTTCATAAACAAAAACTTTGCCAGCATAAAAAGTCTCAATGTCCGACTTCATCCGGAAAGCCACAATACATTAATTATCAAACTAAATTGCCGCTCCCTGAATCAACATACCATGTATTATCATTTGTTTTGATATTCAACCAGAGAGGTGTTATGAAAATTTGCCACTACTCCTATATGGCTATAGTGCCTCTCAGTTACCTATTTCACATCTATACATCACAGTCCACACTTTATTCATACCAGGAGAAAGGGAAGTTACTGACAATCTCATTCATAAATCATGTACGACTTTCCAAACATTCAAGGTCAATAGTGGAACATTTCCATCTCATTCGTAATAAATCATCACTTGCAAGAACCACCAATTTCGGCAGAAACTCCACCTTTCTTTGATTGTTTCAGTTTTAGTTTCTGGATTTTGTTCCTTTAGCACAACATTTTCATTATAATAGTCTTTCTACCCTACACTATATTTGTGAGATATTAACACGACACACATTAAGTGTTGTGAAGATCCCCACATTGTCCCTTTAAGGGATGAGTGGTCTCTTTAATATGGCTTGGGCAATCCTCACCTTGAGGTTGAGTTATGCCCAAAATCCATTTCTTTACATGATATTATCAGGACAGGACCTATTTCAATTCTCATTTCCAATGTTGGGCCCCATATTAAATTGTTTACGCACCAAATGTCCAGCCCTAGGCATGAGTGGTGTATGAAAAGTCCCACATCGTCCCTTTAAAGGATGGATGGTGGGAAATTCCAATTGCTGCGATATTCTTCTTTCACTCCCATTAGCATGCAAAATTTGTTTTTTTTAAAAAATAAAAATAAAAATGTTCCTAGCAAATATTGAATCTAATATATATCATCTATGTGAGTTTTTTATTTCCATTATGTTCTGTATTTTGCTAAATTGATTTTAGGTCCACATTCCCTTCCAACACTTCAATCATGATGGACTGATGGTTCGTCCTCCAATTTTCTCAGTTCATCTCCATTAACAAATGACTATAATTTAAAAGAAATAGTTCAGTGTAATTGAACAAGATGCCCAACAAACAATTTTTTTAGCTATGAAAAGATATCTGTAAACCATCCCTAGAATTCCCTTCTCTGATATGGAGAAAGCAGATGCAAGAGAATCCTCTACTATAGAGTGTAGTGGCTGTACTAAAATTTAGTTACAATAATTGAACTCATGCATTCTTCGATTAGTTTTATGAAACACAATGGATACTTATTCTCATTACCTAAAGAAGAACAACACCAATAAAAAAAGAATACGCCGGCTATACTCAAAGTTTTCATATATATATCATGGTTACCTGCCATACTGAAGGCATATACTCCCGATACAGTTGAGCATTAGTACTACTCCTAATGGTCCTTGAGTCCAAGTTACTCTCAATAGACAACTGCCCTGTACTCCTGTTTTAAGTGGTTGCAAATTAGAAAACGATGAAAGTGAAAAGAGAACTATTTGTATGATTTAGCAGCTTAAAATCATCAAGAAATGATCTTTGGAACAACTGAACAGTTCCATAAATATGGTATACAAAATGATCCTAAATTGATACTTTCAAAGGTGGACAAGCTCGTAACCACTATTGATGATCAAACAGATAAAGTCCTGTACATGTTACGTTACTTGAATAGTTTAAAAATTAGTCAATCAGAACACAAACTGTCCAAAGCAAGGAGCCCAGAATATGGAATTAAACCAGGGCACCTTTACAGACAGACAGCACATATTGAGCTTTAATTTTTCCACCACAGTCTATACACAGGATACTTATCATATTTATCTGGTCATTTGTAACCAGATTTTAGTAATGTGCAATACAAGATTTATTTTGGAATTTGGATAAAGGAAATGAATTGAATCCAACCTAATAACTTCGCGAGATGTAAATTTATCCTGTAAACTTGCTGCTTTTGTAGTTTAGAACAAGCATCGGATGCACCACAAGAATCTTCTGGATCTCTTGAACGGCAATGTCTGACACACTTTGCAAAGACAGACTTCTCCTGTAATAAGACAAATACGTAATGCTAAAATACCCAATTTGAGAATAAGAAGCAAAAATGAATGGTGCAACCTATATAGAAAGCAAAGGAACATACTGAATCCTTTTCTCTCCTAAGAACCAAACCAAGTATTAACATGAGGAGTGCTAGGTGAAAAACATGAACAGATGAAAGCAAACAGAATGAAACTCGTAACCATATATATAGTACTTGATTAGATGACATGTGAGGTTACCAAAACCACAACCTGAACCATCCCAACCTCCAGGAAAAAGAAGAAAAATAAATGACAACTGAACAACTGGGGTTTATTCAAGATGGTGGGGCTAAACAACAAAAACAAAGAAAAAGACAATTGAACTGCAGCCTTCATTATAGGAATAGAGTTACACCTCTAAAAGACTACATTTATGTGTTCATGCCTGCAGAAAAAATGCTCTTAAGAAGCACCACTTTCAAACTGATAAAGTCTATATTTCAAAACTTTTAAGCACTCTCCAAGAGCTGAGACAGGTTTCCAAGAACTATTTATCTTACATGTGAATTTGGTATAACACGTGGCATTTTAGCATGACCAAGAACAGGTTCATCTGTTAAGATGAATCCGAGTACTTTCCCAGCTCATCCAAGGAAAAAAAAAGATCCATAGTAGAATGCAAATATCTTAAGCAAAACAATTGCATTTCTAATCACCTACTTACAGTGTTTGGCAGGCAATGGTCATTTTCCATCTACTAAATAGGTAGAAGAAACAGCAGGCTTTCTCAACACCACAAAAATGCTACAAACTAAGGTGCTTGCAAGAAGTATTTGGAGATGAACTAACTTTCAGGGTTCTCCATAACTCCTCTGTTTGCTGTTCATTTTGAACTGCCTTTTTCACTTATTTTCTCTCTTTAAATGTAAGATATTATTGTGGACTCTAACCTGTTGTTGCTCCCTGGCGGTATAGATGGTGAAGCACAATCCATCCAATAAAAAGCTCCAATACTGGTCATACAAGAGAAGCAACATACCTTAATAAACTACAGAACTTAGTTACACCATCAAGGAATATCAAAAGAAAAGGAAAAACCAAAGGAAACAAAGGGAAGAGGAACATAGATGGAACGTCTGAACACAGATCTGATGACCTAACAGATAATCATTAAATGGGTAGTAATTATGAAGTACAATCCTAATGCCTGAACAATGATCTGGTGAAAAACAGAGAACAACCAGTAGTCCTTGCAACCTACATGACAAATCTAGTCAATAAAAAAATCTAGTCCAAGTGGAAACAGGAATTGACTACAGTCCCCACCCCACAGAGCAAGCCAAAGAATCGGACAATGAACTAATGATAAAAATGGAAGATAACACATAAGCTTTTTCCCATAACAAGGCACATTTTGATAAATTAGTTGTGTCCTTCCTTGGACATTCCCCTGATAAAGAAAAAGGTCACTTTAGAAGACTATCATGCTGTAGTACCATAGGATTGGCTGTTTTAACATGGCCACATGAATAAATCGGCAAACTGCCTAACAGCAAAGATAGGTCAACAATAATGCATTATCATGAATTGTTTGATTTATCTATCCATATACTTATCCTAGGAATACTTCTATTCTGTAGGTTGAATGATACTACTGTTAAAACTTCAAGTGTCTCTTTATTATTTATATGAAACTAAACCGCCAAATTCAACATCAAGAAGAGCATTAGAAGGAACCTGTCAATCATAAGCAAATAAACACCACTGCCATGTGCCTCTTTTTCCTTTTGTAAGTTGGAAATGCAACGTCTGCAACAAAACGAGATTGAAAGAATAGGCGACATACTTGTATATAAATTGAATTATTTATATTACAAAAAAAAAAAAAAAAGTAAAAGTAATCTCACAAACTAATCCAATCAAAAGAATACATTGTAGAAATACACAAAATGATAAATTAAAATAAATTAACAACATATATTCACAGCGAGAAGTGTTGGATTATGTCAAATTACACGACCAACTTGTCTAAAAGTTTAAAATGTTGAAAGGATACACTTCTTTTTACCTAATCATATCTTTAACATCCCCTATTCTTTAGGGTGAGTCAAGCACATCGACATCTTTTTAGAAATGATGGGGGTGAGGCTTAAACTCAAGATTCATGTTCACCTATGTCAAACTCTGATAACATGTTTTTAACAAAATGGACATTGAGCCTTATGCAGCTCCAAAAATTAGAGCATGAGGCAGATTGTCAAAACCACATAACCAGACCACATCTCATATTCTTAACCATGGAGCTCAACATTGCCAAGCCTCCTTAATATGCAATTGTTAACATTCCAACCCCCACTCCCTATCTTCAGGATATTTCATATATATACATCTAAGATAATGACATTTATCATCCTAAAACGAAAATAGCTCGCAAATCTACAATAAATGGAAAGGGGGTACAAGTTTCTATTTTTACACCAATATATTTTGACAAGACAATGTCAACGTAGAACCATCTCAACCTCTATCAAACATTCAGTCACTTTATTTACATCACTACCTTCAAAGAGATTGCAGACATGGTCTAGAGTGTTGGTTCTAACAATATTATTAAAAAAAAAGATCTACCAAAGCATTAACAAGGTTGAAGGACAAAAGCTATACGTATATTGACAGGAGAGATGGACTTATTAAAAGAGAGAAAAGATAGGTAGCAAAGCAAAAAATAGATAAAATGAGGAAGTTAAAGCCTAAGTACTCATTCTAACTCACCTTAAGAGTAGCAAGAAATTCAAAACTATCATAACAGCGGATGTACAAGAACCTTCTCATGCTGACAGCGAACAATTCTTTGTCATATTCTGTGTGTGCATCCTATCATCCACTAGGAGAATTATCCACCTTATTTAGCTTCTGGCCTATGCCATTGCCTGATTAGACAAAATAAACCAAATACTACTTGCATCAAATGTATGAGGCCATAAACATATTTAATTACTAGTTTCTCTACTGTGATGAACATGTGTGTGTGTATTCTTCATTTGTGGAAGGGCCAGTTATGGCGAAACGGGGCAAAGTTATTCCTTTGGAGACAATAAGTCGTGGTTAGAGGATAAGCCCCTATTCTACTTCATTTGCACCTATCCTCGCTAAGCATCGAGCTTGTCACTTGAATTACACTTTATAATTTGCACTACAGGCTATCAGAATTTGGAATTTTTTCTTTTGATAACCAAGAAATCCCTAAGGGCTAGTGGAAATTCAGTGGACACCATAGTTTGGAACCTTTATAATTTTAACCCTTGGACAACAGTATTTTCTATTTTTTAGTTTCTCATTTGAAAATCTCAAAAAAGATATTGGTTATTAGTGAAACGCCAACCTCTACAATCAAGGGAGCATAGCTCTCAACTCTTACCAAATTTTAAGTGATACCTATGTGCTTCATTTATGTTTTTTTGCTGTTGAAAAGTCAATGAAATTCAATGAATGTGCACCAAGATGATGTCAAACCATATGGATAAAAGTGTTCAGTGTTTAACTCTAAAAATCTATCAACTATCTACAGATAAAAGGATCTTGAAAACAGAGTTGTCGATCTTCCACATGGGTCTGTCAACTCCTTCAAACGTCCTGTTTCATTCTCTACACATCATCCAGTAGATGCATAACGATGCCATATTCCAAAACCTCCTTTCTTTCCTTTCCTTCCGTATTCTGCTCAACCTCCATGTTCTGAGAGCATCAACAACTGTTAACGGAGTGCCCATTATATATTAAATATGGAATACACCATACTAAAAAGATCCATGACATAGAAAAAAATAAGAACCTAATGTTTAGAGTCCTTCCTTCCTTTCTTGCGCTTACAATACCAACACATCTATCTTACATTATTATACAACTCTACTCCTAATCCTGCGTTACATCTATCTTATCATGATTTCAAATATTCTGTGCAGTCACTGAATTTTAAACTTTTTTTCCAATAAATATTAACCTATAGAGCTTAGAGTTAAATAGCTAACCTTACACCTCTGACATTGAAAACTCTTATCTATCTAAGTTACTCAAATTGAAATCTGTGAGCATTCAGAAGATGCTCACAAAAGCAAACAGAAGACAGGCAACTCAGTTCCTTAAACTATTCTGCATTTTCCATTGGGTATGCTTCTTCAATTGCAGTATAATGAATGGCATCATTTTTCTGATGGATAATAAAGAATTTCGATCATTCCAACACCAAAATCAAACATATCCATTTACTTCAACCAGCTTGTCAATATTGTAAGTTT